TTTATGGCGAGAACCTAATCTAACTGTTTTAGGGCACAAGGGTGCAACTGGAGTCACCCCAGCAGAGGAAGCACATTGGAGGATCTCCAGTTCCCCCAGTGTGAATGGGAGGCTGGTCCATGACCCCTAGTACACAATTCATTCCTTATGTTGTCGCAGTTTGCACAGGGACAGAGCAAATCCACGCCTGCTTCACACTGGCCCCTTATCCCAGCTTTATCCCAGAGCAATGCTTCCCCCTTTCCTCTGCTCCTGGATCAGTTTTGCAACGCAACATGTGGCTTCCAAACTCCATTCCCAGAGTTCGCCCTGTGGGGAGGTTAGCTGGCTTCTGCAGCCTTGTAATCAAAACCCGCTGGCCAGGGGCTGCGATGGAAAGCACGTGAGTGCCAGCGGGTGCAAAGCGAGGAGCTGCGTCTCTGAGCTGCTGGGGTGGGATGCGCCTCCTGCACCCCCTGCCTGTGCAGCACCCACTGCACCCCGGGGTGCAGTGGTGGGTGCCATGGGCCTCTGCAGGCTTTCACCACCCAAACCGCACGAATTGCAATTATTTTTCAGCAGATAAATTCAGAGAGCACTTTTCCTCCCATCCCAGCACAGAGGTGTGGATTCTCTGATGTCTCGTAGCGTTGGGGCTGCTAGTGACCCCCGTGGGGATGCCCTTGATGGGGTTTCTCTCTTGTTCTGGGGAGATGGGAGTAGTTCTGCCCCTGAGACATCTGCCCCACTGTCAGATGTTACTGAAGTGAGCTGGGTGGCTCTGCAGCTCACAGAGGGAAGCCGGCGAGCACACAGACAGGCTAAAAATACTTCCCTGCTCCTGTGATCTTTCCTGTCCGTCTGCCCCTCCCCGCCGGCCGCTGCCTTTCCTGCTTTATAACACATTTCCATGGGCTTTTCAGCAGCTCCGGCAGACTAAGAGCAAACCCTGGGACTAACCCCCTGGCCCAGAGCCCCAGGAAAGGGAGCAAGATGGCATAGGCTTTTCTACTGGGGCTGTAGAGATGCCAAGTGCAGGCTGTGTTTTGCTGTGCAATGGGCTGCAGTCGGGGGCTGCAGCAAAACCAGTCCCTGCCCATCTCGCCCCAGGTTTATCAGTAACTTGGTGATAAAACCCAGCTTGGGGCACCGGGTCAGGCGAGGAGCTGTGGGTCCGGCAGGGAAGGCGATCCCGCCTTTTCATCCAGCCATCCCGAGGAATCTCACAGGCTCTAATCGCATCCGGCTGCTGCGACTTGATCTTAAAGAGGATCCTGGGTTATGGGCAGCTGTAAATACCGGTGGGTAGATTAGCAGAATATACTGTATCAGCACTACCAGCCGAGTGACAAGCAGGGGGGCATACCTCCCTGATGGGATGCACTCTTAGAGTTTCTTGATGTTTCCAATACTTATATACTCAGCCTGGATTTTCTCTCTTTCCAGCTCCATTTAACTTAGATCCCATGAAACCCCTTTTTATTTTCATCCTTGCTGACTTCCCAGGCACGGAGAGAGGACAGCAGTGTAAATAGGAAAATTTGGAGTTCCACTTAAATGTACTAATACCTCCCCCCAGCCAAAACCGGACAGCAGCATCCTCTCTGTGAGCATCTCTGGAGTCCCCGGGAGCTGGGGGTGGTTCTGCATTGCTGGCATTCCTGCTCCAGTTCCAATGGCTGTGTGCCACTGCCAGCCACCCAGTACGCTCAATGGGACATCCTGCTCCTGGCCACCACCCAGGTACTGAGCTGGGGTTCCCAGGCCATCCCCCCGGAAACTCCCCCTTTCCCTGGGGGCAGCTGGGGATGCTTAGCACCATCCAGGTCTGGCTCCTGCACACTGGGTACCAGCTTTCCCAGCTCACTGGCTGTTCAGCTGTGATGGGGTGGGATAGAGAGAGTTGGGGGTGTCGGAAGGTCTCTGCCCAGTGGGGTACACCCAGGCAAGCAGCAGTGGGGCAACACTGTGGAAAAAACCCTGAGGAAGGCTCCTGATGTGTGCCCAGGCATTTAATCATAAACCCAATTAAAGCAGAGGCTTGATTATTTCTCTGTGAAGTGGGTATTTCTGGGGAAAAATCCAATGGCATTATCCAGAAAATGCCGAAGGAAGCACCCTCCCCGCAGCACACAGCTTGGGTCCCTCCATCCTGGGTGTTCCCATGCCAGGGTTGGTGCGTGTGCCTCAGCCTGGATGGAGACAGAGAGAGATCTTCCTTGGAAATCCCCTGTGAAATGCCAGAAATGGAGCAAGGTCCAGCTCCTCGCTGGAGTTTATAGCAACATGCCGGCTGCTGTGGCTCTGCGATGGGCTTTCCTTATTTATTTTCTTCCCTTTATGGGCTCAGAAACCATCCACAGCCCAAGCACAGCCCATTCACAGTAGCTGGGATTTGTTCTCCTATGTAGTCTAGGGGAGAACTTCTAAATCTCAGCTGCAGCCGGGGCCTGGCATGGTCAAACAGCAGTGATACCCCTGTCCCCAAATGCACCCCACAGGGCTCACTGGCTGCCTCACCAAAACCCAGTCATCGCATGCTGAGGTTCCTATGCTGCTGGTCCAGGTTATATTTTCCTGAAAATCACCCCAGTGGATGCCGAGCAATGCAGCAGAACTCCATGGTCAGTACAGCAACTGGGGGGCTGGAAACAGTCCCTGTAGAAGCATCAGCCCTTGAGAAAGAGAGCAGGGTGCTGAGACACAACTGGATGTAGCTGTTACTCTGTTGCTTTGTTTATCATTTTTATCCCATTAGCAAAATCATAGGGAAACTATGGATGAGGTAAGAGAGCTGACACGTTTGTGCGACCATCCCTGCCAATAACAATGCTGTTACTGAAATGCTGGAATGGAGGATACTCGGCTGGTGATAACGCAGGATCACAGTGAACAGCTGCTATTTCCTGTCCTCTTAATATAAATACATCTAGTGCAAGAAAAATCTGTGTATTTTATATGAATGGTATTTTCAGTCATAACCACAACACCTTCTTTTTTGATGTTAATTTTTTGAGATATGCCTAGCAATGCAATTAGCTCAGTTAAACCTTGTCCAAAAGAAGATGAAGAAGAAAAAGAGTTCCATTTATTACATTTTCCATCTGCGTTTCTGTTTCTTGGGACTTTGAGCAAGATTAATTCCAGAATTGTTAAAGAGAAATGTCACTGGAGTCTTTGGGCTTTTCCTTTCACAAAGAGGAGAGGCAGACCGGACACTGGCTAATGTCCATCTTTCCGAGCTCTCCCCACATCAGAGCCTGGGGTAACTCATGCCGAGCATGGTTTTTCCTGAAGACTCTCCTCTGGCCATAAGAGCATCTCCTATCGATATGAGACACAGCATTTCTCTTCGGCTATATAACAGCATTAGCATACATGCCATCCACGCACATGTTTATATATTGCCTTGCTGGTATTCAAGAGCTCTTCCTGCTGCTTTATTTAGCCTCTGCGGCAAGGCTGTGTTACTGTATCGCTGTATTAGACGAGGCTGGGGGGTGCAAGCAATGGGGCAGGGGCCATGCAGAACATGCTCAGTGGGGCTGACTCCTCCTCAGCAACACACAAAGTGATGGGGCCATGTCCTGCTTGTGCTCTCCTCAACCTCTAAAGTGTTTTATGAATTGGACTAAATGAACCAAACGGCACCTCTGCCATGCACCTGACCCCTACCCAGATATCCCCCACTACATTATCTGCAGAAGCGGTGTGTCCAGAGTAATTTTATGGGGACAAATTAGACGTTTCTGGCTGGGTGGTGGTCTTTGCTCAGCCCATGTCCTCAGCTGCGGTGGCGTTGAACATGAGTGGCTTCGAAGCTGAGGACACAGCACAACACAAGTAGAGTGAGCTGCTGGGTGGGAATGCTCTCTGGCTTTCATGTGGCATGGATAAGAGCGCAAGAGTGAGCCCAGACAAGAGTTTTCCAGCCCTGGCTCTGCTGAAAGCCAGGCTGTTATTTTCCATGAGGAGAGCAGAGTGTTGGATTCCCACTGCCGGTACCGCGCACTCGCATAATGTAATTACCCAGCACGATCTGTTGAGCTGCAAACAGATTTCAGAAATAAGTGTCAGGGTATTCGCAGCAGAGCTGCTCTTTATTTAGGTCTGGGAACAAGCGGCTGTTCTCTCCTGGAGCCTTGTAGAGACTGCGGGGGCAGAGGCGGCCTCGTAGGTCATCCTCAAAAATGCCTATAGACGCTTAAAAGTGAGGAATAAATAACTACTCCAAAAACAATCTCACCAGATGGCACTTCTGAAGAAGGAGCGGCTCAGAGATGCTTTGCTGCTAATTCATGGTGGTGCTGGTGCTGCTATTCCTGTCCTGGGTCACCTATGGAGCGACCTGTGCGCGTGCTAGCTGTGTTACATGTGTCGAGTGAGCACTGGCCCTCACACAAATGTGCCCAACTCACTTTTAACCCAACTGCCAGACCGTTAGCAGAGGCCTTAATGGGAATAGGCTTTGGCCTTAATTCTGCTCCTGCCTCCACCCAACTCCAAAGTACTAGCTTAATATGCCAGCGGCACAGCCAGAGATCGGGATACTGGGCTGGGTGCAGAGAGTGCTTGGGCCCCCCTCTCCAAGAGATGCTCGGGTCCTCAGTGGGGACATGTGAGTCCTTTTCTAGGAGATACCCGGGTTGCCCCAGGAGGATGCTCAGCTCCTCTCTCCGGGTATGCCTGTGTGGGTAAGTTCTCTGGGGAAGCTTGGGTCCCCTTGGAAATGCTCAGGTCCCCCGCGGCCGGTGCTCTCCCCAGGGGATGCTCCGGTCTCTTCTGAGCAGTGTTCCCCGACGGGAACGCGGGACCCCCGGGACCGGAGGTGGGGTGCGTGTGCCTGACTAGCGCCACCCCCTCCAGGGCAAACGCTCGGGTCCCCTCCCGGGGGTAGGTGGGGGGTTCGCTGCGGGGCTGCTGTGTCCCCTCGCCGGGGCCGCCCGGTTCCCCCTCGCTGTCCCGGGGACCGCGCTGAGGCGGGAGGCGGTGCCGGTGCGCTCGGGGCGGTGCGGCCCGGGAAGGGGCGGGGGCGGCTGCGGGCTGGGCTGCACGGCTCCGCTAGGCTTGGCTCGGCGCGGCTCGGCTCGGCGCGGCTCGGCTCGGTTCGGCTCGGCTCGGTTCGGCTCGGCTCGGCTCGGCTCGGCAGGCAGCGCGGTCCCCGAAGCCGCAGGTAGGTGCGTGACTCGCGCCCCGCACCGCGCTCTCGGCCCGGCTTAGCCCGGCCCGGCTCGGTTAACTCGGCCCGGCTCGGCGGGGCTACCGCGTCCCGGCGCGGCCCCGCCTGTGCTGCCGCGGGTGGGCCCGGCGTGGGGTGTCGCGGGGCCGGCGCGGCTGCTTGTTGCGCTTGGGGGATGAGTTGGAGCCGAAGTGCGAGAGGCTCCGGCTGCAGGAATGCGAGTCATTTCCTCCGCCCGCCGCCCTCGGGGAGGTGAAGGCGAACGCACAGCGGCCGGGCTGACCCGCGACCCGCGCCCGCCGCTGCCCCTCCACGGCCCCGGCTCCGCCAGACCCTCGCCCGCGGTCTCTGCGTGCCCCGGGGTCGCGCTCATCCACGGGTCCCCTTGTCTGCAGGACGCCTCACCCCAGGGACCCCTTGCTCGTGGTTCACACTCACCCAAGCGTCCTGTCGCCCATGGGACGTCTTGCCACTGGGTTGTGCTTACCCACGGGTCCCCTTGCTCCTGGGACCCTCTTGCATCTGGGACCTCCTCACCCACAGATCTCCTTGTCCCTGGGTTCCTTTGCTTATGGGTCACACTTGCCCAAGCATCTTGTCACCCATGGGACCCCTCACCCCTTGGTCATACTCATCCATGGATCCCCTTGTTGACACTTGCCCATGTGTCCCTTCATCCACAGGTCCTCTGACCCATGGGTTACACTCACCAGTGGGTTCCCTTGCCCGTGGGTTACACTCACCCATGGTTGCCTTGCCCATGGGTCCTTTTGCCTGTGGATAATGCCCACAAGTCATACTCACCCACAGATCCCCTCCTGGGATTTCCTCACTTGTCAATGGGTCCCCTTGCCTGCAGGGCTCTCCACCCCTGGGTCACACTCACCCACACATCCCCTTGCCTGTGGTACCCCTTGGTCATGGGTCACACTCACCCATGGGCCACACTTGCCAGTGAGGTTTCTCACCTGTGGGTCCTCTTTTTATGTGAGACCTCTTCTCTGTGGGTCCTCTTGCCCATGGGACCCCTCACCCATGGGTTCTGTCATCTGTTGGTCCCGTTACCCATGGATCCTCTCACCCATGGATCCTCTTGTTTCTGAGTCACAGTCACCTGTGGGACCTCGTTGTCCATGGGCCCTACTCACCAATGCTCAGTCATGGGGGTGCTGTGGCTCGGGGTGCAAGCCAGTACCTGATAGTGGCACTAATGGTCTTCTGTGAGTGTCCCACTGGGGATGTGAGTCCCTGCCAGGTTCTGGAAGTGGTGAGGATAAACCCACCCAGCTCTTAAATTAGGCTGCAATTGACATTGTGCCCTTGTGGCAGCAAGGAAATCGGGGCTGAGGTTTCCCAGGACCATGCGTGGTGTTCCCACGTCCTTTGACTTGCACGTGGGAGTAAGGCAGTGCCCGGCCCTGCATGCCCCCTGCCCCCACCAGCTTTGCTGTTGTTGCAGTCCTGAATCAGCTTTTTCCTGCTCGTGGCTGATGCATTTCTGGTCATGAGGATGCTTTCTAAGCCAAACTCTGCTTTTCCAGTGATGCTTCAGTGTGGCACTGATGGAGCTGGGCGTGCAGAGCTTTGCCACTCTGCCTAATTCCCGGGCTGGTTTGTGTAGGTGTTTTTCCATGGGGCTCGCTTGCCCTCTCCAGTTCTTGGATGGAGCGGGGATTAATTCGAGCTCTCTTGCTTGAAAGCGATGTTGTTTCGTTTAAAACTCCCAGTCCCGAAGGCACGTTTTGGTTTGGTTATAGGTACTGGCTTTTTACTATCGTTTTGTAGAGGCATTTCTTTTTTTAAACTGGGTTTATTCAGGCTCTTTAAACCCCGAGTCTGTAAGCAATTATTCCATTACATGAAAGTCAGGACGCTGAAAAAGATTAATTCAGACCAGATGTAAAAATAAATGTGAATTTCAAATTAAGATGATGTCAGCTCGCTCCTGCTAAAAAAAAAAAAGAGGCAGCCTTTGGACTCCAGATGGAGTATACAAATGATGGCGGTGGTTAAAATATCTGCCTGCTTCTTAATTGAGTTTTATGCTTTTTTTTGGCCTTGTCTGAAAAAGCAGGCTTAGGATATTGCTCAAACAACAACAAAAAAGCTTTTTCCCCCTTGCTGCTGGGGGAAAGGGAAGTTTATGGAGGCTCCGGCGTGGCTGCGAGGCTCTCCCAGCCAGAGAACCAGAGAGCAGCAGTGCCGGGGGAGGACAAATCCCCCTCTGCCCGCTCCAGGGTTGAAAAAGTATCTTGGTTTTGTGGGATCTGGAGCTGGAGGCGAGGACGCTGCAGGCCTCTGGATGGTCCAGGCACGGTTATGTGCCATTTGACATAAAACGGAGCTGGTTTTCAGGCTCTTAGCTCGGTGCAGAGCACTTTGCATCCTTTTTCTTAACCCCTCTCTGTGTGCACAAAGCATTGCATGTTCCCTAGAGTGGGGATGGGTTTGGGCACCGAGCCCATGTATGGGAACGGGCCTGGGAGCAGGGTGTCAGGGATGGGGCTACCCAAAAGTGCTTTCCCCTGGGAAAGGAAAGCCCAGGGCCAGAGCATCTTGGGTGGGGGTTATTAAATAGGGAGGTCCATGGTTTGGAAACTCAGGGATGCAGGACGGTGACACTGGCTCTTAAGCTGATTGGTGGTCCTGGGATCCCGCAGCCAAGGCGGAGGGCCAGATTGCCAAGGATTTATGGATTCTGCTTGTAGTGTGGGCTGCAACTTGCCCAAGGAGAGGGGAGCAAGGGCAATACTTCACATACATCCTTCAGAGGGATGCCTGCAGTCCCAGGAGCGGCACCTGAGCTCTGGGAGGTTTGGGTTTGTTGCTGGTGCTGCTTGGGGACAGTTCATAAAGTCCTCGGGAATGTGGTGGGGACAGGGTCTGGACCTAGATGGGGGAGAAATTCCTCCCCAACCCTGATGGTCTTGATGCCATGGATGCTCTCAGCAGATAATACTGTAGTCCTGAAGGCTCGGGCAAAGTTTGCCGGAAGGAAATAAAATGGAAGGGGCTGGTTCCGTAGCAGAAGAGTGAAGAGGAAGAGCAGGCGCCGTCCCTCCCTCACTGGAGCCTCTGCCAGGCAAAATCCATTTCTGTATGCATCGTCGCGGAGGCCGGGCGGCTTTATTTATATTTTAGTGCACCAAAGTAAGGGAACGAAGAGGCCTGTGATGGCTCTGCTGTAGGTCACAGGCAGATGGAAAATCAGCCCTTCCAGGCCGGATCCTGCTCAGTGCATGGCAGAAGGATGGGCTGGGGGAGCGGTTTCCCGAGCTGCCGTGGCTCGGCCCATGTTTCCCCATGTGCTGATGTGATGTCCCACAGGGCTTGTCCCCAGTGCTGGCTGTGATTGCAGCTGTGGCACAAACAGGAGAGGACAGAGGGGCCATTATCCCAGTTTGGGGATGATGCACTTGACTTGGCCTTTTGTGGCTGTCCCTTGGGTGTCCCCAGCACCCACTCATCCTGTTGCTGTGGTCCCATTGCAGCAGCCAAAGGGGAGGAAGAGGAGGAGGGGGAAGAGAAGGAGTGTTGCAGAGGTGGAGACAGGCAAGCTCCTGGGGGAACCCTCCTTGCAGAGGGATTTTGGATACCTCCAGCACTTGGGGGCATCTGCTGGGGCTGGCCCCCGGCTGCCCAGGCTGAGTTTCCAGCATCCAAATAGCTTTTGTGGTGGATGAAGTAATGTAATATTTATAACTGAGTCCTTTTTCCCAGTGAAGGTCTCTTTCATCTGCCTCTCTTCATTAGGAGGAAACTGTTGAGTTCATGAAGAATTGGAGACAATTTTAATTACGGGGCAACCGCAAGCAGGAATTAATCTAGCTTTTGGGTTAGTAGAAGCTGCATTAAGTGACGGCCTTAAAACTTGTAATAACAGCTCATGCATACCTGCGCCCTGTGATGTGGGGTAAAACCGACTCTAAACACTTAAAAACAAGAAATTCCTGCCCTGTGAATTCATCTTCCCATCTTGCTCTGCACTTCAGGCAGCCTCTTGCTGCGGGATGGCCTGTGCCTACGTGTGGATCCCATGTGGAATCCCTTCTCTTACCCCTATTGTGACTTGGGGGGACTGGAACAAAAACCTAGTAATGGGTTAGAGACACCGTGGGGCAGAATTTTTTATTTATTTTAATTAATTTTAATTTTAATTTATTATTTTATTTGTTTTGGCAAGGGAGGTGAATTTGGGTGACAGAGAAAAGGGCTGGATCTGCTTGAGGCTGGGGATTGTGTGGCTGGATTGAGTGGTTGGCACTGTGGTGGTCTGGCGGGTACCACGGGGGTACAAACCTGACCCAAATCCACAGGCTCAGGGACTCAGATGCTTCTTTTAGGTGTGATTAAATATGTGGAGGGGGGGGAAGATATGCTGCACATGCAAACCAGCCTGGCTTTGCATGCACAGAAGCTGCATACTTGCTTCTTTGGAAGAAAACCCCACCTCAGCTGACAAGTTCAAGCAATGTTAAATCCCCAGCCCTGGAATTGCATCCAAATTTATATTTCCTATGATGGAGCCTGGCACACTGCTCCAGCACCTCCGTCTGGACTGGGCTCAGCCTCTGCCTGCCCTCGGCCGTGTTTGCAGGACCCTGTGCTGAATAAATCCCCCGCCGAGTCAGCAGTGACAGCCCGAGCTGCTTTTCCAGGCCCACAGGTTTGTTGCATGATGTTTTCTTTACAGCAGAGCTTTGCGACAGGGTTTATCCCATGGCAAAAGTACAAGGGAGGGAGATGTTATTCCAGCAGGCTGGGCTGAAAACCACAGTCGATTGAGGAATTTTCTCTGCGTCGTCCTGGAGTTACAAAGCATATAAGCCATTTGCAGTGCCTTCCTATGGAATCTTAATGCTGTTTTCCCTGTAGCAGGGAAAATGCAGCTGGAAGACCTGGATCTGTGGGCACTGTGAAGGCTGATCTGTGCCCGAGTCCTCACTCCGTGTGTTTTCTCCAGTCAACTTTGCTCTCTGGATGGAAAACCCTTTGCAAAGCTGCCCAGGGTGGAGGTTCTCACTCTGGCTGTGGTGGGACCTGTGGCACCAGCCCAGCGTGGCGTTCCAGGGGGGCTCTCCCTGCAATCCAGGGTCTTTCCAGCTCAGAGCCGGATATGTGCGTGCTTTTTGGTGGTGTTTGTGCTGGAGCGACTTGCGGAGGCCAGCGGCGTGGGGTCCCAGGGAATCAAAGCTGACATTGTAGGAATGAGCAGCAGATGCTCGGAAAGAATTTGCCGGCGTCTGGCTGAGGCTGCTGGAGGCACATCACCCTGCAAGGGGCTTTGTGTGCCCGCTCACTAAATCTGCCGCAGCTCCAGCTCACAGAGGGGGATGCTCCTGGAGCTGAGGGGGTCTCACAAAGCCGCTGTCCTCCCCTGTGATACTCTATGTGGTCGTCTCATGGGGTGTTCTCATTCAGCAGCATTTTCTATACAAATAACAAAATATATGGTTCTTTCCTTCATGTGTTTCACTTGCTTTTTGAGGTAGGGTCCTGCAGAGCTGCTGCTGAGGGAATGTTTTCTTTGGCTCTGGCAGTGCTGTCCCCACCAAGCTGCATGGTGCCCATGCTCTGCTGATGCCAGCTCATGTGTTTTAATCCCTGACACTCAGGGACCAATTCATGCTGCAGGAGGAGGAGTAAATATATTGATTGGCATGGGGATGAACAGCCCTGGGGATGCCAAGAGCAGTGTGGAAGCTCACCGGAGGGAGCTTCAAGCTGCACAGTGGGGCCTGATGGCCAGCTTCTGCCTGGCTTTTAAAGGCAGTTTGGAGGCAGCTAGGTGATGAGCTGTGACACTGGTGTTCTTGGCAGCATCTCGAAGACTTGGTTCCATTTCAACATACTCTTAAGAAGGTGTTTTCCTCAGGGATCCTGCTATGAGCAGAGCTTGGTGCAGAGGCAGTGGTGGAGGAGGCACCCACTCCCAAACGGCTGCTCCTTCTTGCTGCAGGGATGCTGTGAGGCCCCAGATGTGCGGGGCTGATGCTATGGTGCTGGCAGCAGAGAATAGCCTCCTGGTGATGGGTTTACCAATAAATCTGGGTGGGCTGTGCTTCTGGCTGTAGTCCTGAGCCCATGGGGCTGGTGGGAAGATGCTGTCCTGCACCCATTGGGGCAGCAAGAGACCTCTGTGTGGGAGGAGGGTGCTGGAGGGTGCTCCGGGGCATGGCTGCTTTGAGCCCTCCCTACCATGGCCCATGCAGGTTGCTTCACGCCCAACCCCGTGTCGGTGCACAAGAGGTGCTGGGCGCCCGGCTGGGGCCAGGATGTTTGCCAAATACCTTCAGCCCCATTTTGTTCACTGCTGTGATTTTTAATGAACCTTGAAACCAACCCATCTGCTGCACTGTTTGCTCCCAGTTGGGATCTGTCATGCCTGGGCACAGCCATGATAAATGGATGCAACAAACAAATGCTATGCATGGATGCAGTATGTGGCCACAATGCATAGATGCAATGCACAGCTGCAAGGCACAGCCACAATGCATGGCTGCAGTGCATGGCCATGATGCATTGCTACATGAATGCAGTGCGTGGCCATGATGCATGGATGTAGTGCAGAGATGGAATACATGGCCATAGTGCATGGATGTAATACACATCCATGATGCATGGTGCAATGCACAGCAGCAATGTGTAGATGCAGTGCGTAGATGCAAAATGTGGCCCTGATGCATGTCTGTGGTGCATGGATGCAGCGCACGGCCATCACGCATGGATGCAATGCACAGATGCAATATATGACCACGAAGTGCAGATGCAATGCACAGCTGTGAAGCATGGCCACTGCATGGATTCAGTGCTGGGCCATCATGCACAGATGCAATGCACAGATGGCCATGACACATGGGTGCAATGCACAGCTACTCTGCACAGCTGCGCAAGGCCTTGGTGGTGCAAACCCAGAGTGGCGCAGCAAGACAGCATCACCTCTGGATTTCCCAACTTCTGCAAAACCCCAGTAACTACCAAACAAAAAGTCACCTCAGGGCACGTTTTTCCCCGCTGTACAAATATGCAAGTTAAACTGTTTTGGAAGCCAAAGGCATTTTCATTTAGACCAAAGCAAATATTTGGTGGAGAGGGAGACACTATACTGTCCTTGGTGCCAGCATAAATCTATGGGTTAGGAAAAGGGTGAACTAGTTTAGAGTTTAAAAATCCTTGCTCCTGGTGTCATGTGTGTGTTTGTGTCCCTGGGAACAGTCATGGGGTAAAAAGTGCTTAAGGAATATTTACCCTTGAAAATAAGAATTGGCTGAGGTTAGTGCTAGGACAGATTCCCCCCCTCAGCCTCGGTACAGATTTAGGCAAACGTTGGGAAATAGCATGAGACAGCGATTCCCATCTTCAAATCACTGTTAGTGCTTGGGTTGTCGGATTTAACCCCCATAAAGAGCTGGAGCTGGGGGGAATGGTGCTGGAGGGGACACAGGGTCCTGCTGTGGGACCCAGCAGCAGCCCCTTGCCTTTCTGCTGCTGGCAGCAAAACCTCCCGCACCGCCGCACTGCTCCTCTCCGGCAGAGCCGGGTTTGTTCCCAGCAGATAGACTTCTGTTTTTTATAATTATGCCAGGAAAGCCTTTTCTGAGGTTTTTCTGAATTTGAGCTGGGAGAATAAATCTGCTGGGTCAGGGGTTTTGGGCTCCGCTGAGATCCTGCGCTGCCCTAATTGTGGCGCCAGGGCTGGGATACAGGGTGGCCGTGGTGGGGTGCATGCAGAGGTTTTGGGGGACACCCTGATTCCAGAGGGTCATGATAATGGGTGGGAAGGGTGCCTGCCTCGGGATGTGGGAAGCTGGGGGTGCCATGCACAGGGCTCAGCCCCCCAATCTCACCTGCAGGGATGGCGCCCACGGGGACCGAGGCCACCCCAGCCCGCTGGTGAGGTGCCCGCCACCCGCCCCAAGCCCCGAGCCTGAAGCACGATGAACAAACTGACCTTCCACAACAACAGAGTCATGCAGGACCGCCGCAGCGTTTGCATCTTCCTTCCCAACGACGACTCTCTCAACATCATCATCAATGTAAGGCAGCAAAAGGACCAGGGTAACCCTGAGCACTGACGTTTTCATCACACCTGGGGGCTTGCAGCTGGGTGCCTTTGCAAGCTCTGGTTTTGCTTCTGGTTTCAATTTGGAGCCTGCCTGCTCTTGCCCTGCCAGAGAAATGCACACGAGTTATTCCCCTTAAAGCTGTGGCTGCATTTTACGCTCCCCTGCTTCTTCTCGACTCGATGTGCTGCTGGCAGAGCTGTGATTTTGGACAGGTGACCTGCTGCATGCCATCCCACCAGGCGGCATGATGCGGAGCAGGCAGTCTCTCCTCCCTCAGTCCTCACCCCACACGTCCACTGTGGATGGCAGTTCAGCCTCTCATACTCCAGTGAAGAAACAGGAGGGGTTTGGCTCTGATTTGGATGTAGTATGAAATATGAAATTCCCAGGTTTATTTTTTTTTTAATTCACCACCACCAATATTCTATTTTCTGCCCCAAAGCCATCTCCCTTGTGCCAGGCTGGTTGCAGTGAGGTCTCCACCACCTGCCGCTTCTCTCAGGCTGCCCCATGCATCTGCCCTGTGCATTCCATCACTGGGAGAGCTCTGGTCCTGCACCCCAGGATGGGAACCTCCTTTTGGGGGCTTCCATGTTGGCCCCATGGACAAACGAGCCCCACAGCCCAACCTGTCACTCTCCTGCTCCTGCTTGAGGATGCTGCAGCGGGTTTGCTGCCTGCCTGGCTCAGCCACAGATGCAGGAGGGACTGTGTGGGTTTTTGCAGGTGAAGATTTTGTGCCACGAATTGCTGGTGCAGGTGTGTGACCTCCTGAGGCTGAAGGACTGTCACCTCTTTGGGCTCAGCGTCATCCAGAGTAAGTCAGGGGCTTATGCCATGGGTTCGGTGCCCATGGCCAATCCAGCCCTATGCCATCACGGCTCATCATGGCACAATGCCCCTGGGTAAGGGGTGTGTGTTTGTCCAAATGTGGATGCAAATTTACCCAACCCTTTGGTGGCTCCTCATTAGGTGACAGGGAGGTTATGGACCCCCCACATCACCCACTGATGGGAGAGGGCAGGGCTTGGCGGGATGCAGGGGGCACAGTGGGGATGCTGATGCCAGCTCTGTCTCACTCAGACAATGAGCACGTGTACATGGACCTGGCCCAGAAACTCTACAAGTACTGCCCTAAGGAGTGGAAGAAGGAGGCCAGCAAGGTCAGCGGTGAGGTCTTGCATGGAGAGCTGACGGCAGTAAGGCCACCTCTGTCCCCGTTGCAGGTCACTTCCAGGAGATGGGAATGCAGCCGAGGGTGGGAGGGGGCACTTGGCTGTTAGCCTGCACAGGGTGGGGGGATGGGCGTCCAAAGTGAGTGATGGCTGTCACTGCAAGTGCCACCGTGTGCCCCCGGTGGGGACGTGTCCTCCACGCTCCCCACCCTGGAGCTGTGAATTTTTCCTCCCTTACTTCCTTACACTTCAGCAGAAATTCTGAGCTGTCCCTTCTTCTGGTTTCTAAAATCAAGTGTTTGGGATTTTCCCCCAAAGCACCTTTTAATTATTTCAAGGCAATGTGCTGATTGGGTTGGTGTGAAGGCTCCTGTGCTGGCACTGAGAATAGGGCCGGTGGGTGACGGGATGGGAGGGGTGGAAGAGGGCCAGCAGCAGCAGCTGGGGGCTGCAGCCCCCCTGGGGGTCTCAAACCCAGCCTCCTGCTTCTTTAAATCCAAATCCCCTTTGTGCTTCAGCACACTGGGAGGCAAAAAAGGGTTTAAGCTCTAATTCAGGGGAAATGTACAAGCAGTGTTAGCAAATGAACTCCTCCCTGTGGCTCTTTTGGGGGGAGGCAAAGGGGTGGCCATGAAGGACCTGGCCCTGGGTGAGTAGAGGCAAGGGGCAGGGGCGCAATGCTGGGGTCTGCACAGGAGCCCTGAAAATCTCCTCCTTCCAGGGGATTGACCAGTTTGGCCCTCCGATGATCATCCACTTCCGAGTGCAGTACTATGTAGAAAACGGCAGGCTGATCAGGTAGGCTGCACCTACCTGTCCCACCGTCCTGGGCACCCCTCCGGGCTTGGTGGGGAAAGCTGGTGGGGGGGTGGCACCCAGAGGTACCCCTGGCTCAGAGCCTCAGGATGCCACGGGATGCTGCTGGCATGCCAAAAGCTGGAGCTGTCTGTGGCAGGGTACCGAGCGGCTGCTCCTGCCACCCGCTATGCAGGGGCACATGGAGACACTGCTCGCTGCCAGCCATGGTGGAGCCTTTCAAGGGGCTGGGGACATGGTATTTAGGGCACAGCCTGATTTTAATTCACACGTGTGCCTGTGGCCAGGTGGGAGCTTCAGGTCCTGTTTTGGGGAAAAAACAGTTTTCAGGGTCTTGGGAGTTTGGGGACACAGTGGCATCTGCAGCCCCATGGGGATGCTTTCGGAGGGGTTATTCATCTGCAGGAGGCACTGGCTGGAAATTTGAGTACAGCAAAGTAGCTGTGATTTTGCACCACCTATTGGGATCTGGCTTTAATGAATGGGGGAAAGGGAGCAGCCAGCACTGCTCCCTCTGTAAGACCTTCCCACCGGGAGGAAGGTGCCAGAGTTGTCTCCCACCTCCTGGTCTTGGTCATGAGTGGGTGTCCTGCTGGCTCCCCTCTCCCCTATCGTCTGCTGTCCCCACAGTGACCGGACCGCACGCTACTACTACTACTGGCACCTGCGGAAGCAAGTGCTGCACTCGCAGTGTGTGCTGCGTGAGGAAGCCTATTTCCTCCTCACTGCCTTTGCCCTCCAAGCCGACCTGGGCGACTTCAAGCGCAACAAGCACTGTGGGAAGTACTTCGAGCCCGAAGCCTATTTCCCTGCCTGGGTAAGCAAGCTGTGATGTGGTCCCCACTCTGAGCTCATGTGAATCCCTGTGAGGCTGCTGATGCTGGGCTGCTCAGAGGCTTCCCAGGCAGCCAGCGTTCCTGCTGCCTCCCTGTCTCTGGCTTAGTCCCAGTTATTAATAACCTTTGACAACTGTGGGGCTGCAAATAGCTGTGGGGAGGCAGGGTTGGGGTTGCTGTGGTGGCTTGGGCAGCTCATTCCACTGCTGGGGATTTCCCTGTGCACTGCAGGGATGCTCACAAGGGCTTCCCTGTGTGCTGTGTGCCATCATGGCATAATCCCGCCATCACCAGGTACAGCCCTTTAGGAACTGGTGTCCTCCATTGCAGCAGCCATGGTGTAGGCAGCTCTTGGGGTAGTCCTGGAGGGAAACTGAGGCAGAGCACAAGGTGACAGGCAGCCTCACATTACCTCTGACCATCAGGCAGAGCTGGGTGCTGGGGCAATGCCATCCCAATGATTTTGCACAAAAGAGGAGTAGAGAGTGGTCCTGTTCTGTATGGCACAGTAATGGCAGACAGCTCCCATCTGGGACCCCACAGCAAGGACACAGTGCCAGCCTCTGAAGGGTACCCAAAACCAAGTCTGTTTATTACCAGACTAGTTAAAGAGGAGTGGTGAAGAGCTTCACAGCTGTGTGGGATGTGTGCTGGGACCCAAAACAGCTGAACCTCCTCTGTGTTTCCCTACAGCCGGGGCTACCTGCAGATGCTGGCAAGGGGAAGGTTCATAAAGTCCTAGCCACCACTGCTCACTTTTATGTGATTTCTGGGTTTTGCCTTCAAATCTGCCAGCTTCTCGCTTTTTCACACGTGCCAGTGAGGAGTGATGGCCCCAGGGCTATGTTCCCATGGGAACATACATGATGTCCATGCATGACTCTCCCTGCCCTGGCATGGGTGTCACCAGTGGTGTCAGCTCCATGGGCCAGGCACACTGGGAAATACACATTTCCCAGTGGGAACTCCAGTTGACTAGAGGTTGTTGGCTGTTTTATCTGTTTTATTTTGCTTGCAGGTCTCTATAATAAAGCGTACTGCTCCAGTTTCCCTTTTCCCTTGAAATTGCCACTGTTCAGGAGTGCCAGGGCTGGCATCCAGCCCCAAGCAGCTCCCCTGGACAAGCTTCTCTCCTCCTCCAAACAGGTGGTTGCAAAGAGGGGCAAGGACTATATCCTGAAGCATGTCCCAAACATGCATAAAGATCAGTTTGCTCTGACAGCCTCTGAAGCGCACCTCAAGTACATCAAGGAGGCTGTCCGGCTGGATGATGTGGCTGTGCACTACTACAGGTTGTACAAGGTGAGCAGCAGCCATGAGTTCAGGCTGGGGATTGGGTTCAGGGCTGCTTTTTACTGAAAGGAGCAACTGCCAAACAACTTCTAAGGTATTTTGGGAAGAGCTACATTTGAGTTGGGACTCACTGCCTGGAGCAGGGCAGTCTTGAGGGCAGTGCTTCACTCCCAGAAGCAGGGAGATGCAGCTTTATATCATCCTGCCATTTTCTACCAGTTACAGAGAGGCGAGAGGTGGCCAGGGTGTGGGGAAGTAGCTCCGGGGTTTCTTGGATCTTATTTTTTGGTATCCCCTCCTTCCTCCTTAAGAAATATATGCTGGAGTTTTCTCCTGGGAACAGGGCAATTTGTTTGCTGGGTGCTGGGAGCTAGTGCTTTGCAAACCATTCTATAGCATCCTTAAGTTAAAGAGAAGAACACTCCAGGAGAGCACAGCGTGCTGGTGTAGGAGCACACCGGCTCAAGCATAAAAGTGCCCCAGCTCTGTTTCTGAAGGTCCTTCCAAGTTTTCTGAGGTTAAACTGCTTTTCCAGAGCCTTAAGATGGCGTGGCAGCTGCTTGGGGGTTGAGACTGGGAACTTGTGAGAGGATGTGACCAGGCGGTGTGTGTGCATCAGTTGGACTTGATGATCTTAAAGGTCTTTTCTGACCTAAATGCTTCTATGATTAATGTGGCACTTACCACATGTGGCTGTTGCTGCTGGATGGGAGGTGGGGGGATTACAGGAGGATACCTTGGTTGGAGGGCGGGGAGCAGATTTTTGCACTTCATGCTGCAAATGATGTATTTTTCCTCCTTTAGGACAAAAGGGAGGTTGAGGCCTCCCTGACACTGGGGCTGACAACACGGGGCATCCAGATCTTCCAGGTAGGCAGCTGAGGGAGGGCAATGGCGCGGCCCCCTCCCTGCATGGGCAGCCCCCGCCAGCATCCTCAGCTGGGCCCGCCTCTTGTTGCAGAACTTGGATGAAGAAAAGCAGCTGCTCTATGACTTCCCCTGGACAAACGTTGGAAAGCTGGTGTTTGTGGTGAGTGCAGCCATCCCCAGGCAGAGCATCTCTGCCCGTGTCACTCCTGGGCTCTGATTTGGGCACGGGCTCTTATTACACCTCAAGCAGGATGATTGCAGTGCGGGTGAAGGGGTTGATAGGTGGGCTGCAGCAGGAATATCTTCCTCTCTGGGGCTGACGTCCTCCCTCTCCCACACAGGGCAAGAAGTTTGAGATCCTGCCGGACGGGCTGCCCTCAGCCAGGAAGCTCATCTACTACACGGGCTGCCCGCTGCGCTCCCGCCACCTCCTGCAGCTGCTCAGCAGCAGCCACCGGCTCTACATGAACCTGCAGCCCGTGCTGCGCCAGGTCCGCAAGCTGGAGGAGAATGAGGGTAGGTGCCCCTGGGGCGTGAATCCCACCAGCACCGGGCTCCTGCCTGTATGAGGTCCTTGTGCCAGCCCCATGGCTGGGAACAGGTCAGGGGGTGGATGTCCCCATGCTGTCCCCCTCGACTGTGCATCAGCAAGCCCCGGCCCTGACCAACCTCTCCTGGATGGCGGGATGCCCAAAGACCTGCTGTGGTCCCTGATGGCCCAGTTCCTTCCAATGCCTCAATGCAGCATTTCCCAGTGCCCCATGTCTCATTTCCAAGCTCAGAAAGCCCTTGAGCAAGTATAAGATCTTCTTTCTCTTCCTATTTTTTCCACCCCTCATCTTCCTCTTCCCCTCTGCCTTCTCCTTGTCCTCACCTTGCTTCTCCTTGTCCTCCTCATCTTCTTCGTCCTCCTCCTCATCTTCCTCTTTTTTCTTCACCTCCTCATTTTCTTTCTCCTCCTCTTCCTCCTTCTCCTCTTCTTCCTCTTTCTCCTCCTCCTACTTTGAAGCAATAGCACAGCACAGAGCACAGCAAGTCTGAGGCTCCCCACCATCTGCACCATCCCCAGGTGCCACCAGGACAGGGCTGGCCACCCTGCTGGGCTTGGGTGACAGTGCCCTTGGGGACCAGGGTGCTCCAGGGGGTTGTGGTGCAGGCTGCCACATGCTGACAGTGTGTCACTGGCCTCGCAGAGAAGAAGCAGTACCGTGAGTCGTACATCAGCGACACCCTCGACCTGGACATGGAGCAGCTGGAGAAGCGCTCGCGGGCCAGCGGCAGCAGTGCCGGCAGCGTGCGGCACAAGCGCCTGTCCCGGCACTCCACTGCCAGCCATAGCAGCTCCCACACCTCGGGCATCGAGACCGACCCCAAGCCCAGGGAGATGGGGCCCGAGGATGGCTTCTCGGGCACCGGTGCCCACCGCAAGCTGAAGACCTGCAGCTCCATGACCAGCCATGGCAGCTCCCACACCTCTGGGGTGGAGAGCGGTGGGAAGGACCGGCTGGAGGAGGACTCCCAGGATGATGGTGAGACACCAGCTGAGTGTGGGCTTTCCAGCTTGGGTCTCACCAGGTAACTGGGGTTGGAGGGTGCTCGGGGGGTTCACATCAGTGACTTGTCCCATCTTGTCTTTGCCTGCAGAAATCGAGATGCTGGTGGATGACCCCCGGGAGCTGGAGCAGGCTGGTGAGATGGAGGTGAGCCCTGACATGTGCGTCTACATCACGGAGGACATGCTGCTGTCGCGCAAGTTCAATGGGCACTCAGGTAAGGCAATGTCTGCTTTTATTTCCAATTCCACAGTGCAAGTCACACCTTCAGTGTTCAGCAGAGGAAATCATAGAATCATAGAATAATTAGGGTTGGAAAGGACCTTAAGATCATCAAGTTCCAACCCCCCTGCCATGGGGAGGGACACCTCCCACTAAACCATATCACCCAAAGCCTCGTCCAACCTGGTCTTGAACACTGCCAGGGATGGAGCATTCACAACCTCCCTGGGCAACCTATTCCAGTGCCTCACCACCCTAACAGCCCAAGACAACCTTTTGGGACACTGGGAAAAGCCACTTGCCCCACGGGTTGAAGGTGAGATGGGGTAAACTTGGTGAAACTACAAAAAGAAGGGGTTTCCTGGGAAAGGTGCAGGTTTGACTCAGAGCAGGACTGATGCTCCGTGCTGCTGCCCTGTGGCACAGGGGTGTGTGCCCAGGCTCGATGGGTTATTTGGAGATGGCAGGAGCTGCCCACAGGTGATGGACATAATTTCATTGATGTTCTCAATTGCTGACCTGCTCTATCGTTTTTATGACAAGTCCTCACTTGTTCCCATGAGCATGAGAGCTGTTATAGAATCATAGAATCATAGAATAGTTAGGGTTGGAAAGGGCCTTAAGATCATTCAGTTCCAACCCCCCTGCCATGAGCAGGAACACCTCACATTAAACCATGTCACCCAAGGCTCTGTCCAACCTGGCCTTGAACACCTCCAGGGGTGGAGCATTCACAACTTCCCTGGGCAACCTATTCCAGTGCTTCACCACCCTAACAGTAAAGAACTTCCTCCTTATATCCAATCTAAACTTCCCCTGTTTTAACCCATTACCCGTTGTCCTATCACTACAGTCCCTAATGAAGAGTCCCTCCTCAGCATCCCTATAGGCCCCCTTCAGATACTGGAAGGCTGCTATGAGGTCTCCATGCAGCCTTCTCCATGCTGAACAGCCCCAACTTTCTCAGCCTGTCTTTGTATGGGAGGTGCTCCAGTCCCTGATCATCCTCGTGGCCCTCCTCTGGACTTGTTCCAACAGTTCCATGTCCTTTTTATGTTGAGGACACCAGAACTGCACACAATACTCCAGGTGAGGTCTCACAAGAGCAGAGTAGAGGGGCAGGATCACCTCCTTCGACCTGCTGGTCACGCTCCTTTTGATGCAGCCCAGGATACGGTTGGCTTTCTGGGCTGCAAGCGCACACTGAAGCCGGCTCATGTTCATTTTCTCATCGACCAACACCCCCAAGTTCTTCTCTGCAGGGCTGCTCTGAATCTCTTCTCTGCTCAACCTGCAGCTGTGCCTGGGATTGCTCCGACCCAGGTGTAGGCCCTTGCACTTGTCATGGTTAAACTTCATGAGGTTGGCATCAGCCCACCTCACAAGTGTGTCAAGGTCCCTCTGGATGGCATTCCTTCCCTCCAGGGTATCAACTGAACCACACAGCTTGGTGTCATCGGCAAACTTGCTGAGGGCGCACTCAATCCCACTGTCCATGTCAGTGACAAAGATGTTGAACAAGACCAGTCCCAACACCGATCCCTGAGGGACACCACTCGTTACTGGTCTCCAGCTGGACATTGAGCCATTGACCACAACTCTTTGTGTGCAGCCATCCAGCCAGTTCTTTATCCACTGAGTGGTCCATCCATCAAATTGATGTCTCTCCAATTTAGAGACAAGGATGTTGTGTGGGACAGTGTCGAACACTTTCCACAAGTCCGGGTAGATGACAACAACTGCTCTACCCCTGTCCATCAGTGGTCCATAGAAGGCCATCAAATTGGTCAGGCAGGATTTCCCCTTAGTGAAGCCATGCTGGCTGTCACCAAGCACCTTGTTGATTTTCATGTGCCTCAGCATGCCTTCCAGGAGAATCTGCTCCAAGATTTTGCCAGGCACAGAGGTGAGACTGACTGGTCTGTAATTCCCCGGGTCATCCATTTTCCCCTTCTTGAAAATGGGGGTTATATTTCCCTTTTTCCAGTCATTGGGAACTTCATCTGACTGCCAGGATTTCTCAAATACGATGACCAGTGGCTTAGCAACTTCATTTGCCAGCTCCTTCAGGACCTGCGGATGGATTTCATCAGGACCCATGGACTTGTGCACGTTCAGGTTCTTAAGATGGTTTCGAACCAGATCCTCTCCTACAGTGGGCCTAGGATCATCATTCTCACGGCCCCTGCGTCTGCCTTCCAAGATTTGGATGGTGTGATCAGAGCCTTTTGCCAGTGGCAAAGAAGTCATTCAGAACCTCAGCCTTCTCTAAATCCTGTGTAGCCAGTTCTCCCGAGACCTTCCGGAGGGGGCCTTCGTTGTCCCTAGTCTGTCTTTTATTTGCAATGTACCTATAGAATCCCTTCCTGTTACGTTTCACATCCCTGCATTATCACAAGTGTGAGCCTGGTTTCTCCAGAGCTGTGCTCAGAGAGTTGCCTGCATTTCCAGTTCTGTGCTGGGAGCTACTGGGAGGTCTCATGGGGTGCCAAGCTCCCTGGGGACAGCTTTATATGTCATTTTCTTGGAAATTTGGGATGCTTTGTAGATAACATTGGTTACAAGTGGAGCTGTTGGGGTGAAGGCTTCCCGTGAAGCTGGGGGTGCTTTTGCCACAAAGCAAGGTCCAGCCTGCAGGGGCAGCAGGCACGGATCCCAGGAGAGCTGAGAAGCCTTGAAATAACCTTCACATCCTCCTATCTCCTCTGTGCAGGGCTTATTGTGAAAGAGATCAGCTCCTCCACCTCCAGCTCCTCAGAGACAGTGGTGAAGCTGCGGGGACAGAGCACTGACTCCTTACCCCAGGTACGTAGTGCTGGTGAGGCTTAGGAGAGACCTGAAGTCCTGCTGGCACTGGGGTCTTGGGTTTCCCTGACCCCCTTGGCTCCCCATGGGGTTCTGAGCCTCCTCTCTGCTTTGCCCAGACAACATGCAGGAAACCGAAGACATCAACCGACCGGCACAGCCTGAGCCTGGATGACATTCGTCTCTACCAAAAGGACTTCTTACAACTGGCCAACCTCTGCCAGGACACAGCCCAGAGCTACACCTTCGGCTGTGCCCATGGGCTGGAGGAGGAAGGGCTCTACTGCAACGGCTGCTTGGCCCAGCAGTGCATCAACATCCAGGAGACCTTCCCTGTCAAAAGAACCAGCAAATACTTCTCATTGGATCTCACCCATGATGAAGTCCCTGAGTTTGTCGTCTGAGCACCACAGGGGGCAGGACCAGCTGCCCTCCCCCTAGGGGGAGGCTGGGGCTCCCTGCCCTGCATCCAGGCTGTCAGTGTTGCCTTTCCCTCACCCCACACCCCTCCCTGCAAACCGAGGCCGTGGAAACTCGGGGAACACCCCAGCAGTGGGCAGGATGGAGTCCCCGGGCATGGCAGAGTCCCACCGGTGGTCCCCCAGCATCCTTTCTCCTCCGGATGAGTTTGTGCCAAACACAAGTTGTTTTATTTCAACTGGGAGAAGCACAACTTGTTTGAGCTTGCAGAAGTCAGCCTGTGTTTTCTCACTGCCTTGTGGCGAGGTGGCCTTTTCTCCTCCTTGCCCCCATCCTCCGTGCTGCCGGTGGCTCTGGCAGTGGCTTGGTGGCAGCCAATGCTGGAGAGAAAGTGCCAGACTGTTGTGTTCAAGTCAAGCCAAAGAAATGTAAATACCCTAAAGGCCAGTATAGGGAGGGAGAATTAAGCAATAACCAGCCGGGGATTGATGAACCATGGAGGAAGGCATGGCCAGCAGCATCAACCAGAGCATCAACCAGAGTATCAGCCCAGTTCTTCCAAAACCACGTGCTGGAGGTGAGGCCAGAGTGATCCCAGCAGGGTGGCTGAGAGCTCTCAAAGCCATTTGCAGCTTCATTTTTGTTCTTCTTTTCTCTGAGAAAAAAAAACCAAAACCCAAAACCACCCATCCAAGAAAGCCAAAAGCAAAGGAGGGTGGAAAAGAATAGGTCACCTGTAAGGATATTGCAATAATGCGTCCCAGACTTTGAATATATAGAGATTACATATATAAATATATCAAGGTATGTATGTTTATATATGTCTGGATCTTATAGACCCATTTGCATTTTACTTCTGCCCTAAAATACCTTTTATACAAAGGATCTGCCTCTCTTCTTTAATGAACCATATAAATAATCATATTTTTTTCTAAGCACTAAGTGAGAAAATAGACTTTCATCTTGAGAAGAATATGTATGCAACCGCGTTGTAATTGTGGCTCTTCCTGGTGCAGTCTCTGTTGTATTTTACCAAGGCTTTTCATGCGTCTTTAAGTTTCTTACAGTTCAAATAGTTCTGCTAAAGAATGATGGTGATGTGCTAGAAAAACCCAAGGGCGGCTTCTGAGTGTGTCCCAGGGAAGCCAGCCTGCCCAGATGTAATATTTACCATTGGTACTGGAGGGTGAAGCATTACAGCAGCTAATACTCACAGCACAATGCCTTTTTAGTCAATATTTTTAATTAGAGTTTAGTGATTGACAGCCAAAGTTTTGCCATATTTTGATATACCACCTTTTTTTAACTGGAACCTTTTCTTAAAAGAAAAAAATACTATTTTATAAATGAGCACAATCTTATTTTTATAAAAAATACTGGGGGAGAGAGCCAAGAAGGGAGAACTAATACCAAAAGAAACAGAGAGTGGCTGTTGGCACAGTGCAAAACCCCTCAGTGTTACTGTGATGAGGGAGCTGGTAGGGGAGAGCTTCAGGCACTGTTGGGGCTCTGCACTATGGGACCGTGGCACGAGCACAGCATGTCCCGATCCCAGCACTTGATCTCACCCAGCACAAGGGATATTATTGGAAATGATAGACAGCCAAATGCTGGCAGAGCAAGCAGGAAGATGCTGTCCCCCAAAGCTAGTTTTTATCTCCCCTAAAGCTGCCCAGGGCAACTGGAGGGATGCTGCATAGGGGGCTCAGGCCCATGTGCTTCGTTCTAGTTTTGGGGGGACCCCAGAAAACACCCGAAAAGCCTCATTTGTGGGTACCACATCTCAGAGTGGGATGCTTGCATTTGGTAGCAGCAGACCCTTGTCCACAGCCAGGTTTGTGATTGCTGGGTTGTGTGTGTCTGCCATGCATGGGCTGGTATGGTCAGGAAAATACCCTAAATTCATCCCCAGCCTCTTCTTTTCCCCTCTACCAGCCCCTGTGAGGCAGTGGGGCTGCAGCACCCAGGTGGGGGGGTCCTGCTGGCACCCCTCCACCAGCAAGTCTGGGGTGCCCTCCATGGGACACTCACCCACTGCTCTGCAGAAATGCGTAGCTGGAGGGACAAAAAGGGTAAATCGTGTAAAGAAATGCCCAATGATGTTCAGAAAGCATTGGGGGCAGGGGGGAGCAGCTAAATCAGGGCTTCTCCATTTCTTCTCCTACCCCGTTATCTTACAGGTGAACCTGGAAGAAAGCAGGGTTTGGGGTGCTAAAGAGGGCAGCGATGGAGCTCACACCTGGGCAAATGGGAGTGGGGCTGTGCCAGGGAGTAGTGGGGGGAACATAGAGGTGCCATTTATTCCGTGGGTGGCCAGGGTGTCTGCAGGGTCATGCTGGGAAATGGGGTGGCAGTGCCTGAGTGCCCTTAGTGCCACTGCCCCTGCAGTAATGAGCTATCTGTCTGCACGAACAAAATAGTCCTTTCTGTGAAAGGATCTTCCCGTCAGGGTGATGGGAGAGCCAGTGACTGTGTTGCAAAAGGGAAACACAGGGAAAGCTATACAAAAACCCCGCAGTGAAATCATTTTGTACCAATGAAGTTTGTTGTGTGCCTTTTGCGGTACGGCTGGAAACGACAATAAAGTGAAAGTTGTTTGCATTACTTTGACTGCTGGCGATTTAAAATGCTGCCAGGCTGAAGGGAGTGATGAAACAACAGGTGTGTTTAACGAATGTGGTAAATTTATTGTGCTCTCCAGCATCACCTGGCTCTGGAGAACAGGTAAAAGCAGCAGCCTCTGGTGGGGGAATTGATGGGCTGATCCTTTCCATCCTGGTTTTCGGTGATTTCTAGGAAAAGGAGGACCAGTTCCAGCCTGTCTCCAGGACCCCCAGCCCTGGTCCTCCCCCAGCCCAGCCTGCCGGGGCTTAGCTCCCTACCCCTGGCAGTGGGAGAGACAGTAGTCACCAGTGTGATGAGGGAGGTGGTCCTCTGCCTACTGCGCTCCTCTCTTTAATCCCCCTTTTTCCCTCCTCCTCTGCTTGGAGCAGGCTCTGCTTAGGGAGAATGGGATGGGTGTTTGGGAGCAGCACCCAGGTGAGTTTCCACGAGGGAGGAAGCTTCACCATGTTAAAGATATGACCCTGACCAGGATCCTGCCCAAGAGGCCAGGATGGCATCCGGCTTTGGGCCGAACATGAGGATGCTGTCGGAGCTTCCACCTCCTCTTGAGGCACCTGGTGGGAGTTTCCCAAGGCCCCAAGCTCTGTGAGTGCCTGGACAGGGAAGACTTCATTTCCTCTTTCCTGAGTTGATGTTTTTGGATGAAGCGCGTGGATTCTCCAGTGTCTGATAGAGGCTTTTTGCTGCAGCCTTCCCCCTCCAACATGCAGGGCCACCCTCCCATCTCCCATGCCACTAGTGCTAATTAAACTTCTCACAACATAATTAGTCAGGTCTTTTCTTCTTCATGTTGCCAGCTTTGCTGAACCTGGCACCCACTTCCTCCAGCCAAGGAAAGCTGAATCATAGAATAGTTAGGGCTGGAAAGGACCTTTCCACATCCTCTTTCCCAGTTTTCTGAGCATCTCTTGACCCTCAGAGTATTGATCCCCTCACACCCAGCCCACTCCTAATTGCTGAGATGCAAGTGGTAGGAAAGATAAAGGCTGTCTGATGTGAGGAGTTCACTGTTACTAGGAGCAAAATCCTGATTTCCTGCAGAGGATGAAGATCCTGTTCTCCTTTGGGGAAGCAGCATCAGTAAAGCTTCTTGGCTGGTTTCTCCAAGCATGCTGCAGACTGGATGCGACTCTGTGCCACCCTAACACTAGTACCATGGGGGCTACCAGCATCCCCAGGAGCCTGGACACCCGTGGGACCTGCACTGGAGCCTGCCTGCCTTTGCCATCCATCCCTCTTCCAAGAACCCTGGGAGAGGTATGGGGATGGAGATGTGGTGCTGTGCACTTCTGGTGTGGGGCATACACACTGCACCCTTCCCCTGGCACCTTCAGCATCTATGATGGAGCAGTGGAGCATCCTGTGCCTTTTCTTTGGGCTCCAAAAATAACTGCATGTTACCAGTGATTTCCCTTTGTCCTCTAAAACCAGCCCTCGTCCTCAGTGAGGCGGGTGCTGACCGTGGGGTGGCCACGGGTCTTGGTGCCCAATTGTTGGTAACGCCAGACGTTGTCGGGGCAGCTGATTGCCTCACGCAGGAGGGAGGAGTATGAGGGAGCAAGTGACTTCTGGGATGGGGACTGCATTGTCTGCTACTAAGTATAGCCTCCAGATTTCATCCTTGGCCTCTAAAACCCCTCAATTTTCCTAAAACCAGATGTTGAATGTTATTTTGCATGAGCCAGGCCTGCCGCCCAGGAGGGAGGGAGGGGAGGGGCCTCTCTCTTCCCCATAGACTTTCTTTAGCAAAGGCTAGTACCCTCAGCTAGGCCTTAAATGAGTTCCCCTCTGGCATTTGATGGCTTGGCTTCCATTGCTCCTCCCTCATCTCACTGAGGGAGAGGTCCCCAGGGGGGAAAGGTCCTCCAGTTCCCATCCCGGCGGTGTGTCCCCAGGCAGCCTTGCACCCACGCTGGCTGGTTTTCCCTCGAATGCTCCCTGGTGCTGGCAGCCCTTGTGCTGCTCTGCCTTAGCCATTTCACGAGTTTAAGCTTTCACAGGAAGGCTGCACTTGGCCCATTTTCTCTCCAGCCGCTCCACTTCAGATTTTGCATCTCCTGTCACCATTTCATGGCAGCCCGAGTGGTCAAAGACTTGCGATTTGTAGGGCGACAACGTTCAAATGCCACTTTAATGGAGCCAAGTGCAAAATGCACTTTAAAAGGGGAATGTTGCAGTAATGTCCCTTTTTACTTTAAGTTTTGCCGCCAGACAACAACCGGTGGTGCTCTCTCCAGTGTTACACAGTGATGACTCTTCCCAGGCTGGTGCCTCACAGAGCATCCTCCTTCTATCAGCCCTTCCAAGCCAGCAGTGCTGGACACACCCTCTGGCATCACCCCAATCGTACACCGATGATTGACAGCTGATAATTACAGAAATACCCCGTGTGTTCCTGTCTCTTTAGCCTGGGGACCTTCTGCACCCTGAAATCATCATTGGATGCAACGCTTTCATTTAGCGCAGCGCCACATGTATCCTGCGTAGTATTTGGGGTTCATGTGTCTGGGGTGGGGGACTCTGCCATCGCTGGCCCCATGCTGGGTGCTGCCCGGGGTGGGTGGTGGGTGACAGAGCCCCAGGGGCAGCTGGGGTGGACTCTGCAGGGCCGAGCTCCAGAGCCCTGCAAGGAAATCAGTCATCAGTGTTGCTGTGGAAACGGGAGGGGAAACCCATCCATGGCAGCCAGCGCCCCACTGCCGGGAGCCCTGCGGGCCTGGCCGGCGGGAGGGTGACACGCAGCCCCTCGCACCCACCGCTGCGGGCCCGGGGAGCTGCTGCTGTCGCCCTTTGCGGGATGCCCGTGCCCCCCACCCGCGGGGAGCTGCATCCCAGCGCTGCTGCTGCGGTGGGCAATGGCACAGCTTACAGTGCCCTGTTTTGGGGGGCTGTGCCGCACCTCAGCTCTGCTGTGCCGCCTGCCCAGGGACACACGAGCATACTTTCAGTGTATACGTGTGCAATAGAGCAGACTTGAAGGTACAGCCATGTACAGCCAAGGTACAGCTGGGCTGGCTACAGATGTTTCCGGGTGCAGACGGAGGAAAGGAAAAGGCTGCCTTATACAAAACCCAACCAGCACTCACCAGATCTCTTGTGCTTTGGAAATATTCCACCTGAAATCCTAAAAACCAGGCATGCAGGCTTACACGGATTAAAACGAAAATACGAACTATGGAGTCATGGGCGCTCCCAGAGCTGTGCCCTGGAGAGGCAGGTAGGGAATTACTTAGCTGGGAAGGTCTCGAGGGGCACAGAGAGGTCTGGGGGGTGACAAGGGATTTGGGCTGTGTGGTCAGGACAGAGGTGTGAATGCCAGAGGGTTTGGGGGGCTCACAAGATAGAAGAAGGGATCCTCAAACACGGGGTATTCAAAGATGAGGTGGTGGAGGGGAGAGGGCAGGGATGGGTGCAGAGGGGCTGCGGGTGCAGGGATGGGTCTGTGAGGTGTGTGGGGTACAGGGAGGGTGGGGGATATGTGTGAGGTGCAGGGTATGTGATGGTTGCAGGGGGGCATGGGGTGCAGGGTGCATGATGAGGGGTGTAGAGAGTGTGGGTGAAGGGTATGTGATGGGTACAGGGTTTGGGGTGCAGAATGCAGGCAGGTACAGTGGGTGGTTATGGGGGTTAGTGCATAGCATATGTGGGGTTCAGGGTCGGGGGAATGAGGAAGGGGAGGGAAAGGGACAAGGCGCCGTGGAAGGGACTGAGGCAGGAACGGGCAGTGATTACGACAGAAACAGAGACCAGAACATGGACATGGGCACAGGCAGAAACAAGGAAAGGGATTGACGCAGGGTGAAGGGCAGGGCCAGGAGGCAGCGGGGTCTGGAGAAAAGCGATCTGCAAAACCCGGGGCGTCAGGGAGGAGAGGAGAGCAGTTGCCAGAGAAGCCGGACCAGGAGAAGAAGGAGGAGGAGAAGAAGGAGGAGGAGGAAGTCGGGGCCGAGCCGCTTCCTGTAGGCAGAGGGATGAGCGCAGACAAAGCTGGGTGGGGACTTGCCGCTCGGGGCTGCTGCTGACCACCCTCCTCCTCCTTCCGGCCCTCTATCCTTCCCTCCGGTCCTCCATCCATCCCTCCGGTCCTCCATCCATCCCTCCATCCCTCCGTCCCGCCGCCGCCCGCCCCGCGGGGCAGCACCGCCGCCTCCAGGTACCGTCGGGCAGACGCGGGGAGCCGGGGCTAGGGGCACTGGGAGGACCGGGGCTGGCAGCACTGGGGCACACTGGGGCTGGGCAGGGCGGTCCCCAGCCTCCCGTTGCCCCCCGAACCGCTCCCAAATCAGCAGAAAATCCCCCCACATCCTTCAGGGCGCCGATTTCTGCGTCACCCCACGGGGAGCCCGCGGGATCGGGTGGCGATGGCACCTGCGGAGGGGGGGCGAGGGTCCCCATCCCGCCTGGGGCTGGGTGCGGTACCGCACAGAGGGGCCAGTCTCCCCAACAAAGGTTTGGATTCAGAGGGTTTGATCCTCAGTTAATCGTCTGATTTGCCATCACAGGAAAGGCTTTTTCCGCTAATGAATGAGACAGTGTTCTTTCTTTCTATTTTTTTTCTTTTCTCCCTGGGAAAGAAGGGGGAGACTTTCCCAGCCCCAAATCCTTGCAGCAGCCTCAGCTGGATGGATCTGCCCCAGCCTGGCTTGGGGGGGGGATTTGGGGGTGATGGTCACCTTGTGCCCCACCCCACCATCCCCACAGCGACAGTGCTCTCCCCATCATTTCAGTCCAAATCCTTATTCTTCTCAGTGGTGGTTCATGGGGTGAGCGCTCCGGGTAAAATAACCCTGGGAAAATCACCAGTCAATGGAGATGTGTGCTCCGGTAAACCCGGTCCAGGGCTTGCTTGCCCCAGTGGGCAGGGAATCCAGCAAAAAACTTTTGCCTTCTTGCCTCCTCGGTGGAAAATGGATTTATTTTTAGGGAAAATCTTGAAGCACAGAGATTCCTAATTACTAACTAATGAGTTACTAATGATC